GGGGGAAAGAGGGGGGACATCTGTAATACTTTCAACAACAAATATAAATAAATAAAAAAGACGATGAAACTAATAAGTAGTAGTGACTCAAATCCAAATTCAAGTTTATATTTTCTTCTCTCTGTTTCTCTCACTATTCTGCTTAACTGTATATACAACACAGAGAAAACAGACTTCAAGAGAATAGTAAAGAAGAATAGTAGTAGATTCCTATGTTTTATAAAAAATATAACTTATATTCAACAAAAACTACATAACCTATATATTTTAATATTTTTGTCCAATTCTCTTCCTGTAAGATCTGCAAGCCTGTTCATTATTTTTTAAAAGATATAATTCCATCATGAATGTTTCATCCATTCAAACTCAAAAATTGTGAATACGTGTCCGTAACAGTGCTGTTAACTGTGCAAGAACTTTTATTAGGAAGAAAAGCCAAACAAAATCCTGAAATCCATGAAAGATGTAGATAAAAGAAATTCAAAATTTAAAAAAGTCCTGTCACAGATGGTTCTTTTAAAAGAAATGTGGAAACAAAATTACTAATCAATTTCATAACTTATTGTATTACCAGATGTGAAATCTCACCTTTATTCAGGATGCCAACCCAGAATGGAATAGATAAGTTTTTCCATATAATGTGAACACTTGAAAAAATGGACATCATTTCAAATAACCTGAAATCCAAACTGGAAAGCCTTAGTTTGGCTGTGCCCCAACTGACCTACTCAGGTGTTTCATAAATATGCTATTCCTTGGTAATAAAATTTTCCATTATTCTTTTAAAGAAGACGTTGAGACATTGTATTAGGATTAAATCAATGCCTCCTCTAAAATAAACATTGGTTAAGTTGATCCATTCAAGAGTGAAATTCCAAAACAAATTCTATATAATTGCTTAGCAAAACACAAAGTCAACATTCTGAAATAGTATTCCTTTAGAAAATAATATTTTCTATTGCTAGGAAAAAATGTAGAAATGATTTTTTCATACAGATTCTGAACTCAGTGATGGACAAGTATCGCGGACTAAAAGTCAAATGTATTGTGAAAAGCTAATAAAAATATGGCGATCATAAAGTTATATCCTATAAGACTTGGAGTTCCTTTTGCTTGTCTCTTCCTTTATGCCAATTAATGAAAAGACCTCAGTTTCCACTATTCTAACAGAGAGGATACACATCTATGATAACTCCCCTTCACTTTAACCAAAACAAATGCCTTGTTATAAATAAATCATTAAATCAATTCTTGAGCATGTAGGTCACTTGAGCATATTTTACTCTCTTGGAACATGAATGGCTAGACTGCTATGTAAGGACTGTACCTTTATAGCAGAATCAATGAAAACCTGAAGGGAGGGACACTTAAACAACAGTCTTGCTAAAACTTTGTATGTGATGTTAAGGCAACAACGTGTCAAATGAAACAATAATTCTCTATCTTTATTTTTAAATATGAATAACTTCTTTTCTGATCTATACAGAGTAAGTCTGCAAAACAATATCCACATGCAAACAAAATCCACTGGATGTGTTTTCTATATTGAGTTTGTGTTTTTTTCGCCTTCCAGATAGTTTTATATTAAACGGAAAAAGACAGATCTTTTTCATTGAGTTTATTCTAAATTACCTATTTTTAAACTATACTGTACTTGCATAAATTTTTATTCTAAAAGGTAGTTATAAGACAGTTTTTTAAAAGAAAAATTACTATTTTTCTTATCAAAATGAATGAGGTATGTAATAATTTTAAGTTTGCATAGTACATATTCCAAATAACTACTTATCATATAACTTTTACTTTCTGTAATAAATATAAGAACTATTTTCCCACAGTGTAAGTACCGCATGCCTGGGGGGGAAAAAAAAAGCAAAATTTACAAAAGAGGGATTAAACTTCTAAAAGAAAAATGAATCTTGAGGATGTATAATCTTGAGGTATAATGACTTCACAGGTAATACATATATTTTCATAAAATGTTTTCTCTATACTAAGGGACATGAAAATTTGAAAAGTAAATGAGTTAAGTCATCATTTACAAAGGTATGTGCTGGGTAGCTAGAATGTATTAAACTCCACCTACTTGAAAACCAAGTTATACTGAAAACCTCAATATACCATTTAACTGTTAAATCAATTTTTACTAAGATTATCTCTCAGGAAAACTTTTTTTACAAAAACTGTATTTCACTTAAAAACCAATTTCCGAAGGAAAAAAACCTCAGAGTATTTTATAGAACTAATCACTACAATTAAACAACAGTTCATAACTCCAATTATTTAAATAATAGTTGCTGTCCGGAAAACAGAACAAGGGCAGACATAAACCACCTCTAAGGAGACAATCAAAATATCAAGCAATTACTTAACATCTTCAGACTAGTACTGTTTTTAACTACTTCTGTTTTTCTAGATAATTCACTTATTTTAAAATTTTGTGAACAAACCTATCATAACTGATATATTATGAATTACTTTTTCCTAAGCTTTAAGTGAAATACATGTTAAATTTCCCACATGAAAATCTTCAAAGAAACTTCAGATTTTAACTATTTGAAAAAAAAACAGAAGCATCTCCATACCTAACCAAAACAACAACAAACGACAAAGTACCAAATGCTAAAAGCTGCAGCCCACGAGAGTTAGTCCTCTTGTTAGAGACAGGAAATGGTTAGACATGTATATAAACACCAATAAAGCAAAAAAAAGGGGAGAGCATCTTTCGGACCGTATTTCCAGGCTGCTGATTAAGGGTAAGGGTAACGGTAACGGTAAGGGGATCACGCCAATGAGCAAACCTCAGATAGGCCTCAGCTCTAATAAGAAAGGTATGTCCCGAAATCACCCTGTGTCCACAACCAGCTGCTGCTATCATTTGCAAGCAAATGCAAAGATACAGACAGAATAAACAGAACCGCTGCCCAGACCGTGAGGTGGCACGCACCCGTCACGTGGACATTTGTATCACAGCTCAGGTCTTACCTCATAAGACCAGACACACTGGGTCCCACCGAACCGTCGAACACATCTTCCGACTTCCACATCTTCGTGTGTCGTGTACATTTCTCTGAGGCATTCGCCAATATGCGGCACCATCCTCCTGAGGACCTCTCGACTGAAGATCATGCCAGGTCCTCCCATACAGAAGTTCTCCCCGGGCTCCAGGCCCAGCTTTCCTAGTTCTTCAATGTTACCCAGGCCCGTCTGGCCCAGGTAGAGGGGCTTGCTGCTATTCAGTGATCGAAGAAACTCTTCTAACTTGTCACCTGCAAAGAGAAAGGCAACAATCACTCCTTTTCCTAATTTCTTAATCATTTATACGTACAAAGTCAGGGACAGAACTTGTGTGTAAACTCCCCATAAGTCTTATACAATTGAAAAGAAGAAAAAACCTCTCTGAATATTCTATTATTTTTGTAAAAACTAATTTACAGTTATTAATTAAATCAAAATTGTATCAACATTCTAGCCAAGGTGACTGAAAAACCTTAAGTCTAACAATCATCATATTTTCTTAAATGTTTATTGATTGTTTTTTGTTTTTTTTTAGAGAAACATTGATTTGTTGTTCCATTTATTTAAACATTCATTGATTGATTCTTGTATGTGCCCGGACCGAGGATCAAACCTGCAACCTTGGGGTATGGGAAGGGTGCTCTGACCAACCGAGCTACCTGACCAGGGTATAACAATCGTCAGATTTTTAAAGGTGAAATAATGATAAGGAGAACCAAGAGGTTTCTTACCATATTTGAAGTAATGATAAAATTCCCAGAAATATTAAATATTGATATTTAGCATCGACTGACAGAGTGTTAATACCCAATAATTATTTTCCCCCTGACAACTGATTTAGGGTCGTGCTTTGTCCTTAACTTGCCTTGAAATTTAACTTTGAAACTTTGGAGACCACCCTTTTAGAAAAAAAATAAATATTTAAAGAATAAAATTGGTTTACTTATAGTTTGCGAAGTCATCGGGAAGAACCATTTAAAATTAACTAACACAGTTCAAAAAGCACTTGTTATTCTACAAAATGATAAATCGGAATAAGCAGTCACCTTCTTATATTCCCAGTCAGCATCTTTACTGTCATTTTTGAGGAGCACAGCATCTGCAGTCATTATCTTGATCCCATGCCACGCCCCTTTCACCTCAATGAGTTTCAGCTGACTATTATGGGGTTCTTAACACAAAATGCATTTCATTCTTAACAGAAATGGAAAGAACATGGCATTTCAGTGTTCTGAAGGACAAGCTTTCAAAGCATTAAGAGAAATGTTTGTTTTCCCCTTGAGTCCTGGGAAAGGTACTAGTCCTTGGAGCCGGGGAGACAATGAAGCTACATGTAGAGAGGCAGAAACTAAGGAAGGGCTGCCCCCCTTTGTCCAAGAAGCGTGGAAACCTGAAACGCACAGACACCTCGGTGCCATTCGCCCTTCTACTTCCCTCCAGCCCCTCTCTCCATCCCCGCAATAGGCTGGGCTGGAAAGATTTACTCCAGCTCTCAGGAACTTCTCTCTGCTGAGTTTAGAAATCTCTGGCCAGAGCCACCCACACTCAGGGTGAAGGACCGCGCCTCCTTAAAAAGCTGACAAAGTTTTCTCCCGCTGTGGCCGCGCGTGGTTTGGGGGCCGTCCAGCCTCTCTGCTTATCGCCGCAGCCAAGGCGGACTGGAAAGGATCCATCCCGTGCGCGCTAGCCCGGCCTGGAGCTCCTGGGTCCGGGTCATTCGCGGACGCCGTCACCTTTTCTCGCCACCGAATCTGACAGTACCCCCTTGGCCCGGGGGCTCAC